CGCCGCCCACCCCGCAGGCGCTGCCCACCTGCCCCGCGCGGGCGCCGGCGCGCTGACGCCTCTGGCCTCTCTCCCCGGGCACAGGAGGCGTACACCGAATACCTGCGGAGCATACACTACATCTCCCAGGTGCTGCTGGAGGAAGTGGAAACCGCCAAAGGTACAGCTCTCCGCCTCACTGCGGCAGGTGCGGGTGCAGAGCGGGGCTGGGGCGGCAAGCCGAGGTGCCCGGCAGCGCCGCAGGTGCGGGCAGGCAGCGCGAGCTGCTGACAATGGAGACGGAGCAGAACGCCTGGGGGGTGCTTGCAGGTGGGAGGAGGGCCCGTTGGCTGCCCTGCCACCTCAAGGAGGGGCTGCGGGGGAGACTGGGCCCGCAGTGAGGCAGAGCTGGGCCCCGGGGGTCACCATGAGGCCGCGAGACAGGTGCAGGCTGGCCAGTGGGGCGGCCACGCAGGGCCAGGAGGCCGATCAGGCGGGTGGCCGGACGAGAGCGGCGGGCTGCTGACATCTCCCGTCCTTGCTTTTGTCCTGGCAAGTCTGGTGATGGTGGTGGTGACCCGCTTCCTTGTCCCTTGCTCCCCAGAACCTGGGGAGGCCGTGCCCCCCGACACCTGGAAGATGCTGAAGCTGGCAGAACAGTGCCTGGAGAGGGCCCAGTCGACAGCTGCCAAGCTTGGTAGGTCTCTGGCATGGGAGCCCCTCGCTCCCCAGCAGGCAGTCTCCGGGGTACCCTCCGCCAGCCGGCGTCTACTTAGTGTCACATGGGCCCTGTGCTGACTCAGCCGCGCATGTCTTGCAGGGAAAACACACCTGAAGCCGTCCGTGCCCGTGGCAAGTCCTGTCCCCACCACCACCAGCCGACACCGCCGGGTGTATTCAGATGAAGGGGGGAAGCTCTCTCCCTTCCTGCCGCCCGAAATCTTCCAGAAGCTTCAGGTGGTGGAGTCACAAAGCTCTAAGAAGTAAGATAAGACACAATACCTCAGTTTAGAACCAAGTGAAATAACCATAGTAAATTTAATTAAAACAGATCCCAGGGTGTAAATACCTTAGTGGCTGACAGAAAGAAATGCAGATCTTCTTTGGGGAAAAAAGGGCTTTCAGCTTTCATAAAATGAGTGGCACAGTTCAATGTAGCCAAGCAAAAGAAGAAGGGGGAAATGACTATGAGGAAATGGTTGCTGAAACAGTCAGACGTGTCGCAAAATAGTCCTGTTATCTGTGTTTTTAAAAAATACATATTTACTTACGAATACGAGAATGGGGTATAGGGCCCGCCCCGGTGGCTGAGCGGGCTGACATTGCAGCTTTATGAAGCTGTCAGCAGCTGCTTAGCTCCAGTTCAGTCCCAGCCAGTCCCACCCTGTGGGTGCAGCAGACCTCTCCTGACCGCCCGCCGCTGCCCTCAGGAGTGTGTTTCAGTACATCTGCCTGTTCTGCTCCATGCTCTGTCTCTAGGGAATCCTCTCACTGCCCCTCCCCCACACCCCGCACCTCTGGCCTGCACCCTAGTTGTGTATGCATAAATAAATAAATATTTTTAAAAAAAAAGAAGAACTGAGGTACAAGCTAGAGGTGCAGGCAGGTGAGAGGATTCCCCAGAGACAGAGCGGGGAGCAGCACAGGCAGGCAGACAAGCATACTGCTGAGGGGGCAGCGGGCGGGACAAGAGGGGCCTGCTGCGCCATGTGGGTCGCCTCCCTGGCCGGGAATCAAACGAACTTGTGCTGCAGTGGCTGTGGATAGCTTCATAGTGCTGCGCTATAACCTGTTGCACCACCAGGGAGGGCTCCTCTTTTCTGTATTTAGAAAAAGTAAGCAAGTTTCAGAACACTTGCAGGTAGAAGTAAACTATACAACCTATAGAGAGAATAGAGAGAAAATGAAACTCACAATTAAAGCATTTTTTAATGTATTTAAAACAGTAGCATTTTGCAGTAGAAATTCATAATGCACATAAAAACGATCTGACATGCTCATAACAGACACAGCTGAAGAGACAATTAGTCAACTAGACAGAAGTTTAAAGAATACATAGAATGACTGGCAGGATGGGGCAAATGAACTTGGAACAGGGCAGAAAGTTTCATGGGGGGGCCCTCCCCGGCAGCACAGTGAGTAAAGCACCACGGCGCTGTCTGCAGCTTGGCAGACGCGCTCCATCCCCAGCCTGGGGGGACCCACGTGGCGTGGCAGAGACCTCCCCTCAGCAGTGTGTTTCACTCAGTCTGCCTGTTCTGCTCCCCACTCTGTCACTGGTGAATCCTTTCACACACACCCCCGCACCCCCCACTCTGGCCTGCACCCCAATTCTCATGTGTATAAATAAATAAACATTAAAAAAAAGTTTAATGAGGGGGGCCTGGGGATTAAGTCTCAGTCCTGTCAAGCTGTCACCACTGCGGTCCAAGTCCTCTCTTCCACCTCTGGCCTGCACCCCAGTTCTTCTGTACAGAAAATAAACAGATCTTTAAAAAGACACAAGGAATTTAATGGAGTTATTGAAGTTCCGCAGAGGAGACAGCGTGGAGGACAGAAGCAGTGCTGGACCAGATGGCAGACTTTTCTAGCGCTGACAGAAATCCTCCAGTCAGAAGCCAGAGCCCACTGAGCCCCGAGTGATGGGCTCTGGCCACCCCCTCGTGCAGCCATGGGGCGGGGCTTCCATCCAGAACTCCCCTCAGGACGGCCCTCCCACCCCTTAAGGCAAGGAGGCCTGTTGGGCAGGAAGCGGCTGCAGGGCTGGCCTGCGTGAGGGCCGCCATGTCTCGCACGCCTTGGGCAGAGGCTGTTCAGGGCAATGCCTGAAAAAAGTTCCAGGTTGTTGCCAAACAGGTGTATCCCATTTTGCAGAAAGGCCAGAAGTCCAGCCCTACCAGGCCAGGCTTCAGCCGGGCCGCCGTGCCCAGCCCACCGCACCCAGATCGCCCCGGCACCCAACCTCACCGCCTCAGCTTTGGTGTCCAGGGCTGTGGGAGGCCCTCAGGTCACCGGAGCAGCCCTCGGCTCCCTGGGCCCGGACAGCAGCTTGTTCCCCATTGCCAGGGAGCTGACGCCTCTGGAGGAGGCCTCCGTTCAGAACCAGAAGCTGAAGGCTGCCTACGAGGCCCGGCTGGC